TTTTCTGCAGTCTGCTGCAAATAACACGAAGACTTCTTCCTTTAGCGGAAATGCCTGTGTCATCAGCGAACAAAGATTTGTGGCAACCCTGAGGCAAATCAGGGAGGTCCGAAGTGAAAATGTTATACAATATAGGCCCAAGAATGCTACCCTGAGGAACTCCTGCCCTAACAGGTAGTCGATTAGATTTGGAATTTTGATAATTTACTTGAAGAGTTCTGTCAGTTAAATAATTTTGAACTAATTTCATAATATAGAGTGGAAAATTAAACTCTTTCAATTTAGCAATCAAACCTTCATGCCAAACACTGTCGAATGCTTTTTCTATGTCTAGAAGAGCAACTCCAGTTGAGTGGCCTTCAGATTTGTTTGAACGAATTAAATTGTTAACTCTTAAGAGTTGATGAGTAGTTGAATGCCCATGGCGAAATCCAAACTGCTCATCTGCAAAAATTGAGTTCGTATTGATGTGAAGCATCATTCTATTCAAAATTATCTTTTCAAAAAGTTTACTTATTGAAGAAAGCAAACTTATTGGACGGTAGCTAGAAGCTTCAGCTGGATTTTTATCCGGCTTCAAAATTGGAACAACTTTTGCATTTTTCCATTTATCAGGAAAGTATGCCAAATGGAAACATCTGTTAAATAATTTTACCAAGAAAGACAAGGTACTCTCTGGGAGTTTTTTGATGAGGATATAGAAAATTCCATCATCACCTGGAGCTTTCATATTTTGAAAATTTTTAGTTATAGACCTTACTTCATCCAAATCAGTCCCCCAGGAATCATCAAAAATATTTTCCCGAGAGAAAATATTCAGAAAATCCCGAGCAACCTGATTCTCAATAGGACTAGTAAGACCCAAACTGAAATTATGGGAACTCTCGAATTGCTTAGCAAGTTTCTGAGCTTTTTCCAAATTTGTGATCAAAATTTTACCACCTTCTTTAAGCGCTGGAATAGGCTTTTGAGGTTTTTTCAAAATTTTTGTGAGTTTCCAAAAGGGTTTGGAACTCGGGTCTAATTTAGAAATATTATTTTCAAAAGTTTTGTTCCTCAGGGCAGAGAATCGCTTTTTAATTTGTTTTTGCAAATCCCGCCAGATAACTTTCATGGCAGGATCGCGTGTTCTTTGATATTGTCTCCTACGGACATTTTTAAGACGGATCAAGAGCTGAAGATCATCGTCTATTATAATTGAATCGAATTTAACCTCGCATTTTGGTACTGAGGCAGCTCTTGCTTCAACTATAGAAGTAGTCAGAGATTCAAGAGCATAATTAATTTCATCTTTGGTTTGCAAAGGAATGTTTGGATCGAAGTTATATTCCATAAATGTTCGATACTGCTCCCAATCAGCTCTATGGTAATTGAAAGTAGAGCTGTTGGGATTACAAATTATTTCTTGGGATATTTCAAAAGTTACTGGAAGGTGATCAGAACCGAAGTCAGCATGGGTAACCAATTCGCTACAAAGTTGACATGAATCAGTTAAGACCAAATCAATAGTGGAGGGATTTCTTGCAGAAGAAAAGCATGTTGGGCTGTTTGGATATTGAATAGTGTAATAACCTGCAGAACAATCATCAAACAGAATATTACCATTGGAATTGCTTTGAGCATTATTCCATGAGCGGTGTTTTGCATTAAAATCACCAATAATGAAGAATTTAGACCTATGACGGGTAAGTTTCTGGAGGTCACCCTTGAGAAAATTCTTTTGCTGGCCTACGCATTGGAATGGCAAATAGGCAGCTATAAACGTAAGTTGTCCAAATTTTGTTTCAACAGAAACTCCCAAAGTTTCAAAAACTTTGGTATCAAATGAAGAAAGAATTTTATGTTTGATTCGTCTATGAATAATGATGCCAACGCCACCACAGGGTCCATCAAGACGATCATTTCTATAAATCAAGTAATTTGCGTCCTTCTTAACCTTATGGGCAGGTTTAAGGAACGTTTCAGTTATAACGGCAATATGCACGTTATGAACTCGCAAAAAGTTAAATAGCTCGTCTTCATTATCTTTAAGAGATCGAGCATTCCAATTTACAATATTTAATGCTTTAAAATCCATTACTGAATTTTAAAGTCATGACAATATTATTTGCAAATTTTACTCCAGTTTGAATAGCATCAAACATGGAGTTAGATTTAAACATATCAGAAATCATGTCAATTAATGAATTCTGTAAAAATTCCATTTTGGGGGCAGTAATGCTTCCTAAGTCAAAATTGTCAAAATTTCCGTTAGAACGTTGGTTAGTATTTTGATTTCTACCCGCTGCAATAGCAGCATAGGTAGCTCCATTAACTCGCTGAACATTGTAAGCAGCGAGGGGAGTAGGTACAGATGAAACATTTGAAGCAGGGGAGATATTTGTACCTACGGGTACGAATGTAGAATTTGCTCCTCGCTGACCGTTGTTAACAGCAGAGGAATTTATACCTGGTCGGAAACGTGGAGCGTTTCCTACCTGACGGTTAGAACGAGATTGAAGGATCGCTTTGCGAGTCTTACATTCCCAAAAATTGGATTTGTGGTTTTCACCACAATTTGAACATTTAAATTTCTTAGGATCTTCCTTCACAGGACAGTCGTCCTTTGCGTGAGAGGAATCACCACAATTCATGCATTTAGCTGGCATGTAGCAATTTTTAGTTCCGTGACCCCATCCCTGGCACTTACGGCACTGGGTGAGGTTTTGGAAATTTCCTCCAGTCTTCCTGAAGTGTTCCCACTTCACTCGGACATGGAGCATAAGGCTAGCTTTTTCTAAGGCCTTAAGGTTGTTTAGTTCACTAGACTTGAAGTGAACTAAATAAAAATCATTAGAAATCCCGTTGCGCGAATCGCCAGGACGGGATTTCATTTTCATTTTGATTACTTGGAGTGGCACAACTCCAAGTAATTTTGCCAGTTCATCTTTGATCTGGTCCAGGGATTCACCACTGGGCAGTCCTTTCATGACAACCTTGAACACACGTTCAGTTTTGGTGTCGTAAGTAAAAAATTTGTGCTTCTTCTCAGTAAGATACTTGATAAGACATTTAAATCCGTCCAAGGTTTCAGCCAATACACGGCATTCACCCCGACGTCCAATTTGTAGTGAAAACTTAACTTTCACGAAATTCAAAAGTTCCATGCGAAGAGCATGGAAATCGGTAGTGGTTATCACAATAGGGGGAATCTTTTCCTTCTTGGCATTAAGCCGGGAAAGTTTACTAGAATTTTTCTTGGATGATGGATCATTCTCATCATCCGTGAGCAAATCAAATTGATTACTCAAATTAATTTCATCAGAAGGGGGGTCAAGAGTTTGCCCCTTTCTTTTGCGTTTAGGCGCCATGGCGGCAGTAAATTTTTATCCAAATCGACTTCCAAGCAGATTACTATAAGAATCTGAAGGATCGAAGAGGAATTTTCCAAATCGATATCCAAGAAGGATTACCTCGGGTAGGGTCCAAACAAGGATCGAAGAGGAATAAGAGTTGAACAAGGTAGAAAATTTTTACAGGTTGAGCACTGAAAAGTGCTGTTTAAATTTGTTGTAGCTTTAGGTAGTAGTAACACTTCCTTCAGCAAAAAGCAAATAGATCCGCACGGCAAGAGAGCACGATGCGGACTGACCGTCCGAAGCGTTAATGAGCAGTGGCATGAGAGCAGCGCTGATTTATATCTTTTCAGGTTCAAGCAGAATGATGTGCAACCAAATGGTATTCGTTTATGATGACTGGGTTTGGGAAAAAGGCTTATTTCATGAAATCAGTGATAAAATTATCATTTGTACATTTTCAAAAGTTTAATTACAGAAAAATTGGAAAAAATATTTATTTCAACAGGTTCGTAATGTAATATCCTATCGATTGGCGTACTTGGATTTTAATTTCATCTATAAATGACAAAGTTACAAGCGTTAAAAACCTAACACTCCTTCACCACACATATTTTTTTGACTTGCACCCCAGTATAGTCGACAAAGACGTAGTTCTACGTCAAAAAAAAAAAAAAAAAGAACGAATAGAATCAATCCAAAAGCAATTTTAATTATATGCACTACGTGAATTGGGATTGAATATTGAGTATGAAGCACGTTGCTTGTTGATCAACATTCATGTATTGAAAGAGCGTCGGAATTATGCTATGGTCTCTTCCGTGATCAATATCGTTTCTCAACGCTTTGACTCAGTGTATTTATTATCAAGACTAAATTGCGTAATCGACATTTGTCCGCGGTAGATTGACATCGTACTAACTACTCAAAATATGGACCGATAAGTCAGATGATGTCTGTTTATAATCTGCACTGTGAGATGATAGACCTAAATATGCCTCCGCTAAAATAGAAAACAATGTTTGCTAGCACTGTGAAATCATAGATTATAAGTTATAATGTTATTATGTATCTAGTATACGTTTTTGATTGACAATTATAGGAGCTTTTACCCTAACGAAAACACATGTCTTATTGGGAAGTAGTTGCGGTTCAAGTGAATAATATGTATGAACCCGTTTATTTTATCTATGACAGGCACGCGAAATAGGAAAATTACCAGATTTGTATCTTTCCGATTTAAATGAAGCTTTGTCTATGTTTTCGACAGGGGCAATATGAATCTTCCATAGATATTTAGACCATTTTGGCTCAAGCGTCATATTTTGAAAGCGATGTATTTTCATGAGCACTATGTTTCAAAAAACGTATCTCTAAAACTATTGTGCCGCAAACGTTCTTTTTTATTCTGTTCTGCCTTAAGTGCTAAAACGCATTAAATGGCCCAAACTCAACGCTAATTGACAGCTTCTGGCCAATTTAAGCCGCTTTTCGGTGAATTGTTATCAGCTTATTTTACGCAATTTAGTATGTGTGTGTGTCCTCGTACTGATTTATTCAAGTCACGTTCATTTCTGAATCCGATTTACCCATGATGATGAAGCATACCCTCCCCTACATAAAGTTGCTGTAAAGAAGAAAGATCATAAAACTGCCGAAACTCACCTGATCGCAAATAATGTCCCATTTCTTGTCGTTGTCATAATTCTTCAACAGCTTTGCCTTGTCCGGTGGGAGATCCATGGAAGCCTGCGAAAAAGGAGAAGAAAAAGAGGAGATATGAATGAATGAATACTTAAAAATGGGTTCATTCGATACAAAAATAGCACCATTAAAGAGAGATTAGTTGCTAAATTAGTGACCGTGTCATTATGAATAAATTAACTGTAAATAGGTGGAGAGATTTTACGAGTTGACAGCGGTAGCGGAGAGACGGCGAACCCGTTGCTGTCGGTTGATGATGGCTTGAATTATATTGTTGTCATATTTTAGCGACCATAAAAGTCCAATTCGATGGATTTTATTTTACATGCTGATCAACTTCTGTTTTTTTTTTCGCTGCATTGCTGAAATGCGGTGGGAGTCTAGATTTGAGCGATCGAATGGAATACGTAAGACTTACCTTTACAATTTAAATTTAGAATGCCAATCGAGCGAGTGGGTGCGACTAATCGCAACTTATAATCCAATTTCAAGGACATTGTCGTATTGAAAGTTTTCGACTGGACTGCTGCCGGGACGTGAAGTTTACCCCTGCTAACACAAATTAAGACGCATTCATTGTCACGGTGGCGGACATTCGATTTAGTTGTTTTCTGTTGTATTACTCAGTATATACGCTAATCATCATAATTATAGACGATACAATGATTTATTTATTTATTTATTGTCGTCAATCAGATGTACTCAGACAATTTCTTACAAGTTACAAGTCATGTGTTAAATTGATGAGTAGAATTACAGTACTGCTTTAATCTGGTTTTGTCATTATAAAATTAATAGTTTCACTATGTTTATTGTAAGCAGTCATAATTTGATTAAGTGGACCAAATTTGGCATAATTTGTGCGATAGTGATTTGTAGTAAATATATTTCGAGTTCGCAGTTGCCGAGGAGGTATGTAAAAATTAAGCTTTGATAACAGCTCTACTGAGTTAATCCGATGCGATACTATATCGTTCACAAACGAACCTTGTCCAACCTAATGTACGAAGAGCAAATAATAAGAATTGCTTTTGCACTGATTCTAATCGTTCCTCATGCGTGAATAAAACAGGTGACCAAACTATGCTGCAGTATTCAAGTATTGATCTTACATATGAAATGTACAGTGATTTTATTACAGTATACGGGTCATGAAAGTTGCAACTGAATCGTTTGATAAAGCCAAGCATGTTATTTGCTTTGTTGAAATTGTATTATAATGATCAGTGAATGCTAGTTTTGAATCAACTATAACTCCTAAATCTCTAACTCGTTCACACTTTTCTACTGCCTGGTTTCCTAATACAATTGTATTTTGTGATTTGTTTCTATTTCTGATTAACATTTTTTTTTGTTTTGGTTACTCGGTTTTGAAAATTAAGTGTTTTCGAACGAAAGTGTACCAAAAGTGCTTCTGAACGTGTTTCGCAGTTGGGTGTGGTGAAATTCGTGCATTCCCGGTTGATTATGGAAATCCGTATCATAAAATTGCCCACCGATTCCTTTTTTTTGCCGTTCGACGACGACGGGTGTGCTTTCGCGAGAGTGATGTTTATTCGATCCGTTTCTTTGCACGGATGTGTTTTTTTGTAACAAGCGTAAGTGTGCCTGTGATCACGTCTTCCTTCGAAAGGGAAGTAAAGCCGTTGGTCCTCGGTTCATGAGTTGATGAGGCGATAGGTAGGGGCCAGGTGTGGGAGCTGCCTCCCTGGCGCCGGTAGCATTGGTGCTCAGCTCGGAAAACAAATCAAGGGAAAAAAACAGTGGCAAAGGTGTTATATCCTAGACAAATGGTAAGTTACAAATTAGCTGTTGTCGTTGTCATAGGCGCTGTCGTAATCGCCGTCGTAGTCGCCGTAGGCAGTACCGTTAGTATATTTAAAATTAACCATCAACCGCTGTAAATATGAATTATCGCGTATTTCTGTTGTTCATTACATTCCAAGTGAAATTCGAGAACGTAATTTCATTTGAATAGCTTGTTTAACCAGGTCTTAAACAATCGTCACGTCGATCATAGCTTGTTATGATTGCCTGAACCATGCGTAAAGAGAAAATCGAAACATTGAACGTCGCGTGAAAGTGGATCTTAATGAAGGCCTAAGTACTCTTTCGTAGCTTTTAGTTTTAGGATTTCAAAGATCGTCGGTTGCAGTGGCTTGCTTACTGAGGAGAAAAACGCGGTCCCATATCCTTTCATATTAAAAATGCATGGTAAGATCGCTTGTTTATCGTGTATTTTGTAAAACTTTTCGTTGTCGTCGGTGCCGGGTTTGAATAGTTATAAAAACTTGAGTAACGCTATAATGTGATATGAGGGGCTCGGTGGCCGTAGGGCAACCGGTTTTGCTTACTGAGCAGAACATCATGAGTCTAATCTCAAGCCCATTCACATTCAAGATTCAATCGTTTTATTTGTTAACATGACTACAACAGCAACTCGATGATTAAAAAGGAGCTCGTCTGCCTAGTGGCAAACGTTTTTGCTTACTGAGCAGAAGACCGTGGATTCAATCCCAAACTCCTTCGTGTTATATGATTGTTACGACATCAATTCAGCTTATCGTTTACCAAAACGAACCCTGCTGCAAACCCAACCCTATTACCGAATATCCCAGTGATTCCTCGTGGAAGTGCAGAGATGTTCTCGGCTTCCATCAAAGCGAGTGTCACGTCAACACATTCCTACCCCTTCCTTTCTTTACCTGTGTTCGGGTGCATCCGGCGCTGGTATTGCCTAGTTTGAGATCACCAGTTTTTATACATTGAGGATGATTGCTAGTCTGGCAATAACAGAGTAGCAACCGTAGGCGGTCAATCATGCTCATGCTCATGGTAATAGCTATTGATTAACATTTTTGAATGTTTAGTTGCAGGCAGCTTTTATTACACCAAACATAGAATAAGCTTATTTTATTCTGGTATGTCTGTATACCTTCTTTGTTTCTTATTTCTAGAAAGAAGTTCATGCCATCCGCATAGATCTAAACTTTTATGTTTTTAAGAATAAAGGAGATGTCGTTTGCAAATAAATTAAACAAAAGAGGGCCTAGATGCAAGCCTTGGGGGACTCCAGAAGTAACAGTAATAGGGTTTAAATTTTGACCTTTGAATCTAACTATTTGTTGGCGGTTAGTTAAATATGACTCAAGCCATTTGAGAAGTTCAGGTTCAATTCCTATTTTCCGTTTTTGACAACATTATATTATGCAAAAATCGTAAATTCTGTAGATCCTTTTATTTTTCACTATGATGATAGTAAAATTTAAGCATAAGCATAATAAACATTTACAAATGTCGTCACTTCTTTAGAAAAGCGATATGAGGGTTTAGAAGCAACAGCGATAAGTCATTACCCTAATAAAATTTGTATGGTTATTTTGCTTAACGACGTGTTCAGGGTATCTTCTAAATCTTTTGTGGAATAGTTCTATCATTTGGGATATAGGTCGGGTATGGCATTTTTTATGAGTGTAATTCTTTACTTTACTCTGCAATTTTTTCGTACCCATGAATAAGTTGCAGCGGGTGAAAATTAGAATATTACAAGATTATCATCTCAGATAAATTTACAAAAATAGATCGTATAATACTTTGAAGAGTTAAATTTATGACCAGCGGTGAGATCAAACCCTTATTACTTTTAAAATCCGACTAAAGTTCCCGAAAGAGTCAGGCAATTTCTGAAAGAGTTCAAAGTGAGCTTGATAATCAATTGAGTTCTGGCACATGTCGGGTTCTGATCACTTCCCCTAGTGATTCGGAACATATCCGAATGTGTCCAATGCTAAACTGATGCATAATTTGAAATTTTCGGGTCCTGATTAGCCTCCATAATTTGAACTTATTCGTTAAGAAACTGACACAAACCATTTGGATGATTACAAGTCCCAAGAAACGTCTATTGGTGCTCTGTGTAATTACAGCTGATTTGGCAATAACGGAGTTGCATACACGGGCGCTCATACTCATGCTTATAAAATTGACTTCTTTATGTCAAACAACCGCTCGATTGAAAATGAAGCCTAGACAGAATGGTTCAAAACCGGTTGGTTGGTTGGTTATCTTTATTAAGGAGATTTTCAGCCAGACGCTGGCTCATCTCCGCGGTTCAAAACTGGATATACGTTGTACATATGATATCCATCGTGACATAAAAGGTAGTTTTGGATGGACCTACTGCATTATTTTTTGAGACGTCTTTTCCCATGACCAATTTTTGGTGTGTACATTCGTTACTACTGTTCAGTGTAATTTCCCATCACCGCGCTTATTATGCTATCAATAATTACATCCGGACCATTTCGTGCAGAAAAGGCCCGTCACCGTCCTCTATCGCACACGCGCTGCTGTCAAAACTTCTCAAACTGGGTACTTCGTATAATCTTTTATGAAAAGCGAAATGGAACAATCATCTCAGTGTTCATTGTACCAAAAATAGGAGGCAGGAAATTGCAGTGACGCCGTCGGAAATTTTGATTAAGAAGGGGAAGCGTAGACCACTCATAACTGCACATGTACGAGGTTTAACAAATCACGCATGGCATTGTACCACCATCAGGCTTGCAGTGAAAGGTGAATCTTATCCTGTTTGTAAAATCTCCACAGCACAGGAGAGGAAAACAAAAACATCTGCCAACCGATTTCGAGCCCACCAATTTCAATCCCGGTTTATTCAGCCTGGTTGCGTTCATTTGCCATCTACTTCACGCGATGTTTATCTGTGACGCCAGGAGTATGCTGCTCACACACACACACACGCCATAGCTAGGCAATTAGCGTTGACATTCCCGACATAAATTCGCAGCTTGTTGCTCGTGCATCGGATCAAGTTTTCGTTGTAGCGCTGACATCCGGCGCTAAATCTCGACGTGAGCCCGTTTTGTGTAATATCGTGACTAATGCGCCGAATGTGAACTCTGTGTTGTCGTACTGCGCCTACCCAGAAGGGGGCCTCGACTTGATGGATGTGAACGAATATGGCTATTCACTTTTTCGTGAATAAATTATAGTCAAGTGCTTCGTTCGGTCATCTTCAAGCAGTA